GTGTTCGTATGCAAGGGATTTTTCCACACAAAAACGACGAATTCGGCCGAATTTTGTTATCGGTTGGCTTAATATAACCCCAACGGACCGTATTTTTGTGAAAGATTGGTATTTTTGTCCTGATTTGCAGGAATCTGAAAAACGCGTTTCGCAACTTGTCTCTTATTTAGTTTCATGCGTCATTCAAGATGGCGGCCCCCATATAGTAAATATCGCACTTATTTTATTATATCAGATGTGCGCCAGCTGACTGTGGTTGCACCGTATTCTCAGTTTCAAAATGGCGGCTACAATTTTTGCATTGAATTGCACTGCAGTGTTTTGATGTACTCTAAGAAATATTTCAATACATCGTTGACGTGCCATTAAGTGGTCGACGTGACATCACCGAGAAAAGTGAATCGACAGTCTTTGTTTAAGTCAGCGGGTATCGTCACACGCGCGTTGGTGACATTTGACCCTTTTAAGAGATAGAGAGCGCCGTCAGTTCAGTAAAGTTGGTAGTCTAAAGATTCCACGACTGTAAGATGACAGCATTGTGCAAGGTCGTATTAACACATTACAAGTATGCAAGTATCGGTGTCATGTATGTTATATCGTGATTAGTATTCTAGAATTGATAAAAACTATTGTCAAACGATATGTTAGTACGTTAGTCAGATTTTTCTGGATGTGTAAGCATAACGTGCAGACGACTTGAGTGTAGATCGGGGTACCGTACTTTGCAGAGCAGCCGCTTCGCTTCGATCTATTGAAAATAGAACTCCAAGACCCGTTGGAATTATTGAGCTGAAATTAATGTTGCTCGCTTACCAAGAAAACTTGAAGCCAATTATTGGCCCAAGAGTGGTTACAAACAATAAAAAGTGCTTAATCGGCGAAGTGAACAACACAAATAATTTGTTCGGTTCAGATAGCATGATTTGTATTCCCAATTGTCACTTTTTTGTCTGATAGCGCGAGTCAAATACAGTTGTTTCCTCCACAATTTTATTGTGATTTTTTAAGCTCAAATTTACTTTTATGACGACGCTTTGTGAGCCCCATGCAACAATTACAACCGTGTACATATAAAATTCATTATTTGCCACCAATCTTTTCTTACATATCATTATAATTTCCAGTGCCTTAAGAATGGGGATCATTGTCGACGTCACCTTACAGACCGACAATGTGTGACGAGCTTTTCGAGATTAGAATCACCGCACTTCATTTATATCCCAATAACTCATTCCGAGCAAAGCGCGCGTGTTTACGGCCGCTCCCTATTACAAAACAGATTTGCGGTATAAACCAGTATGTCTTCGTTCGTTTGACTAGGTACGACCATCGTACTACTATACGACATATCCTTGATCTCAAGAGGGCGCACCGATGAGACGCCGGAGCATGGCGTACGGTTTTTTAATACGACTAAAGTTAAACTAACGTGAATCTGGTTGTAATAGAGTTTACCTGAGTGCGGCGTCTCTGAAAATTCAACATGAACTCGGGGTCACACAGTTCACTTAACTCTGACTACAACATTGACTAAGCTTTGTGTACGATATTGAAATTTGAGGAGGGTTACAAAGTTCTAAACCTGGTATTTGCTGCACAGTAATCATCTGTCTCGATTTCAAGCAGCTTACGTTAATGAGTTCGGGATGTGTTCAAGTTTTGTATCCACATGTATGTTTCTAAACACAAGTACAATTTCCGTTGAATGTAATGGTAAAATAGTTTCTTAATGGAAATTCACTGTGTATGACAGTTTTGATTAAACATGAAGATGAAAACAATTGTCAAAATCGATAACAAATTGAATTTCAGTACGATATTTTCAGCGATAGCGTTGAACAAAACGTGCAATTTCACGCGATTATTCGCATTCTTATTTCTCGAATGAATAAAAAATAATAATTATGCATTTCCCCATTACCTGTATTTAGTCGCGAAAGAGAGGAGAAGTTTCTTTTTTCGCCGTACGTGGTCTTCCCTGAACATGACCGATAAGTAATCCGTGACATGTACCAGTTGTTTGTTTGGTGTTCATGTTGGTTTCATGTTCACAATTGAAAGCGACATAAAGTAGGTGGTTTATCAATTAGTGATACCGGAAATTCATTGCAGCCATAAGTGCTAAGACATGTGATTGTCATGTAATTCAAGTTCAAGGTCAAAGCTCGGAGTCCTGAGGTCAAGTCAAGATAATCCAAGTAGACACGAAGTAGATTGCATGTATATGGCACGCTTCGGTACTTAGACGGACAGACGGTCTTTCGATCAAGATTAATGTATATGCATGAGATTTAAGGATCCTTTCAACAAAATATCATTACGTCATTCGATTTTCTGCCAATTACTAAATTTGACATCGAGACGTTAAATTTCTAACGGTCATTCTGAAAGATTGGGTACTAGTATCCATGAAGTGAGGACCCTGGGAAATTAATAAAATGGTGCTTGTGAGAATTAATATTTCTTGACAATACCTTTTGTCACTTTTGTCATCTTGTTATTTTTTTTTGAATATTTTGTTATTTATTATTTAATTTGAATTAAAAGTCACTATTTACAGGGGCTCGAGGCTCGGATGCTACACAATACCCTCGTTGTTATAAAATACAGAGGGCTCATCATTAAATTACTTCCCGAAATTAAATTATGCGAAATTAAAGTATTGGCTAAAAGCGAAGTATGACGCCGGCAAATTAACCCGCGCCAAACAATTGACATGTCCCTTTATTCGACACGTAATATACGAGCGGAAGGGGTATCGTACTAGTGTGGATATCAGTTTGATATCGGACTCTGACCTCTGACAGCATAAATTACGTTTACTACATTAGTATCCTTGCCATATGATTGATTGATTTGAATTTGAGTCAGTGCCAAAAAATCGCCGTGGACATTCTCTTAATATAATGTCTGTATCGATGATAGCATTGCCAGATTCCCTATTCCGTACTCCTGTGACCATGTTATCTCATTAATTGAAGCGAAGCGATTGATTAAGTAAGATCAGTAAGTTGTAACACAATGGTAGTACGTACTTATTTCATAGTTTAAATATATATATATGTCGATAACTGCCAATGTTACATTTCATATAAACAAAAACGTGTTTTTTTCACACGGTAAAGCTTCTGCAAAGAAGCTCGAAATTATACTCCGGGGTTTGTTTGTTTGTTTTTTCTTATCCTCCAATCTCAAATTCGTCAACTATGCGACTTACTTTGTTTAGATAATTTCTAAATCATTATTATGACAACTACCATTTTCAACGAACGTTCAAACATAAACGCCACGGGACTAAGTCCCTGGAATATTTCATATTCAGTAATACACGTACTAGTATTTGATTTGACCCTGAGAAACTTCCGTGTCACCACAGCAGCTGCAAATCTCGTCGTGCGGGATTGTTTTAAACAGCGTGCTTTGATTACTTGCCGGTGACTGGATTTTATTGCTTCAATTTGTAACCATTCATTTCTCTTGAAGTATAAGTATTTTTTTTCCCAAGG